GATAACACTGAAATAAATAGGTGGGTATAATTATCACCAATAAATGATTACAATATATAATACTCATGTCAAAAAAAATGTTAGTGCATGTGTCATTTTGAAACAGGTCGCTCACTATTTGTGTATCTGCTTTAAAATAAAAAAAAAAAAACAGATAGAAAAAGGAACATCATTTTTGGAATAAGGACCAGAAACAGATGATTTGTTTTTAACTTAGATGAAATAATTATTTACTTATTGTAGAATAGCTCATGGTACACATGAGCGTAAATAAACAAAACTTACTGAAGTTCACTGGTGCCTCCTGGGACCAATGTCTCAATTTTTTCTTTCAGATCTTTTCTATGTGCTGTGGATGCAGGAACTAATCGGTTGTCTTGGCAACTGAGTACATCAGTACTGAATAAATGCCACCTATGAAAAAGTTGAAGAGATTGAATACAAAGAGTTCTTGTGAGCACAAACAAATTGTTAACAATGATGACAACAATGATGACAACGATGATAAGAACAACATACATTTCCTCCATTAAAGCAGGAGGGTAGTCACCTGCGCATACGCGGAAATTGAGTCCCAAGCGACGATAACAACACACGCTAAAAACGCAAAGGCTCATGGGTAGATGCTTGTTTGTAAACAATGACACACTATGGCCATCTGACGCATGCGCAGGTGACGACTCCCTCGCTTTAACTCTTTATCAACGCAAACTAGAAAGCACTTGCAAAAGAAATAGGTGTACAACTATTTTAATTGTGTTTCCAATATTTATAAACAGAAGAATATATTAACCCTTTAAGTACCACTTTGTTTTCCCACTTAAATTGTTGGACAATTTGTTCACATTTTCTTTAATTTTTAATGAATAAAATCTTAATTTTGGACCAAACAGACAAAATTTGCCAAAAATGTCAGTTTTTGATAAAAAAATGTACATAACATTTAATGTGGAGAGAGCAGACTATAAAATGAAACAATTTTGTGGAGGTGCCTCAGTTGCCTCAGTGGGTTAAGTGGTAGTATTTGGTTAATTTTAATAAACAGAGCTCTGTTGCACCCACTCCCTCCTTCTCGATCACCACTTTTGACAGTCTGCAGTCTCAGCAGTAAAAGTACATTTTATAATCAGGTAAGTTTTTTTTTTTTTTTCACACCAAAGATTTGCTGGAGGATACAACTGAAAGTCTTGTTTACTTACTTTCCAACTTCATCCCAATGACTGGCTCTAGCACAAATAACATTCACATAGTCTTGTTTTGTTAAAGTATTGAGTATTGTCTTCACAACAGCTTTACCTATTTCAAACTTTTTACCAGTCATGGAATAACTAGAAAAAAAAAATCAAAGTTAAACTCTTGCAAAGCTTGTTGTTTTGTAGAAAAATATCTAGGACATAAAAATTTTCAACAGTCAGTGAAGAAGCATTAGAGGATAGAATGTTCAGCACCAATATAAAGCAAATTTGATCAAAAGCTGTTATGAGGTTTTTGAGGATTTGCTTACACAGGCTGAAATGAGACAATATGCAAATTAGCTACTTATTATGCATGGTCATGGCTTAAAAACTAACCATGTCTGTACATTACCCCAAGGTACCTTACCAAAGTTGATCAAAATCTGCTGAGAAGTTTTTGAGATTTAGCTTACTCGGGCTGGAATAAAATACATCTAATTAATATGCGAATTAGCTACTTATTATACATGGTCATGGCTCAAAATCTAACCATGTCTGCACATTATCCCAAGGTACCTTACCAAAGTTGATCAAAATCTGCTTAGAAGTTTTTGAGATTTAGCTTACTCGGGCTGGAATAAAATACATCTAATTAATATGCAAATTAGCTACTTATTATACATGGTCATGGCTCAAAATCTAACCATGTCTGCACATTATCCCAAGGTACCTTACCAAAGTTGATCAAAATCTGCTGAGAAGTTTTTGAGATTTTGCCTACTCAGACAGGAATAAGATAATTAATATGCAAATTAGCTACTTATTATGCAAGATCATGACTCCAAAACTAAGCATGTCTGCATATAACCCCAAGGTACCTTACCAAAGTTGATCAAAATCTGCTGAGAAGTTTTTGAGATTTTGCTTATTCAGGCTAGAATAAGATAATTAATATGCAAATTAGCTACTTATTATGCAAGATCATGACTCCAAAACTAACCATATCTGCATATTACCCCAAGGTACCTTACCAAAGTTGATCAAAATCTGCTGAGAAGTTTTTGAGATTTTGCTTATTCAGGCTGGAATAAGATAATTAATATGCAAATTACTACTTATTATGCAATATCATGACTTGTTTTATTTTTCATTTTTGTCAATTTAAGTTACCGGTATGCAGTAAATCATGAATTTTGAATACAAATTCAGAATATTCACTGAACAATTCATCTCCCATATGACCCAAAGTAAATAATTAGACATTCAAGATCAAAATTTAGCATATTTTGATTCAAATTGCAGAAATTAAATATAAAATTGGTCATTGTTGATAGTCTTATCAAGATTTCTCATGTTTTAGACATTTTCATGTCCTCAAACATAATCAATGTTTGTTTTAAGACATTTCTGAAAGAACCCTTTTATAACACAAGTCTGCCCAAAACACGGCAATAATACATCATACTCTATTGTACCTGCAATCCAGTATAATAGCGACATCTTTAGGTCCACTCGTTGCGGCAATATACCAAGGTCTCACCCTTGGGTCATAGTCATTATAAAAACCTGCAAAGTTGGTGTCCCACTCTCGTCCAGGGTACATACGTAGTATACCATCCTTGGAACCAAAATATTGCCACCTAGAAGAAAATGAAGATATCTTGAATTCAGGTTGCCTTTCTGATGAAAGTAAACAGGGATGTATTTAAAATCTTTCTCATTATACAATGTATTTTTAAAAAAATTACCACCAAGCTCACTGATGGTGACTTGCATAAAACGCTGATTTTAATTTTCAACTTACATGAAATGTTATCCTCATGAATGACATGAAATAATCAACTCATGAAAATGATAGTAGCGAGAATTAAGAGGTTTGCAGTATAAATTATTAGCCATTTCAGCAAATAATGTTTAGTATCGTTTCGTATACAGGAACCCCACAGTATAGCTTACACTCGAACTGCCACATTTATTGCATTCATGTTACACATTTATCCTATTTCAAGTCACATTGTGTATTGTCACTGCGTTTTTTTTTTGACTACACCACACTAATATGTGATCAATGTGCAGTGTGAACATACATGTAGAACATAGGTTGTGGGAAAGCTATCTATACACTTTTCACACATTTTTCTATATTTAGGATTTATAGTTAAAAACTGAATGGCCACCAGATGGCCATCTTCACAAAAATAAATTGATGTACAGTAACTAAGGATTGTCCAAGATAGTAATAATAATAATAACAAGTCATTGTCAATGACACGTCCCCGTTCCATTCATATTTGAGTGACATATACATTCAAAGCAGATCATGACCGAAATGCACCTGCATATGTACAACACATTGTGCTAAATCTGAACAAAATCCATCCATGCATGACTGAGATCCGGTTCTGGAATTGTGAAAATACGTGATTTTGATGCATTTTCGGCCTTAAAATGGCCATCATTCCGCTATTGTTAAGCAGATCATGAAACAAATGCACATATCTATTTGTGACATGATGTACCATGTGTGTGTGAAGTTTGAACTTGATCAATCCAGACATGTCTCGGATACGGATCCAGAACTGAATTCTTTAAAACAAAATGGCCGCCAGTCGGCTATTTCGAACTTGATCCGAAAAAAAAAATGACGTGCATCAAGGTCCTATTATGTTTAATGTATGTACCAAATTTGAATGAAATCCGTCCATGCATAACTGAAGATCCGGGTCCGGAATGGTGAAAATGTGCGATTTCAATGCATTTTCGGCCTTAAAGCGGCCGCCATTTGGCTATCG